TGGCTGCTACTAAAGTCGATGGATTCCAGCTGTCACTTACACCATTCAGCCATAGCTACAACTACCGTTCTGCCATCATCCAAGGCATGGCTTCAGTTGTCGAGGACAAGGCGGAAAAGTTATGGGCTATGGAATTGATGACGGACTCGGTCATCCCTGGTCGGTGGGCAAATACTCGCACACCACCGGACGGCGGTGAGTTGCAGTCTACGCACGTTCTGAAAATCGACATTCAGGCTGCAAGCGCCAAGATCAACGCGAACCAGGCGCACGACGACAAGAAGGATATGCGAAAAGAGGAATTGCTTGACAGAGTATGGACAGGTGTTGTACCTGTGTACGAGACGTTTGGGGAACCGATACCAAGCGCATACAATAGGGTTGAGAACGTTCCATCATATATTGCGGACTTCATCAGGAACGAGAATGTGAATGCCGAGGAGCATGCAGTGGGGGGTGCTCGCACAGAAAGTCATTAGAAGTGAATGGAAGTGTCATTGATTTCAATGGAATCATATCTGGTGACGTGGCATTATACTGAGAAATGACTGAAGGCTTGCTTCGCACCTGATGCCATCTATAGCTTAGCCGCAAACCTTTCGTGGATCGCATTCTGGAATATGCCAGTGTATTTCACCGTCGTTGAGTCTCCAGGTGGTATCAACTGGCTGGCGTAGAGACCACATAAACCACTCTGGTGGTCTATCCACCAAGAAAGGTTAGGAAGTCCTCCCCAGAGCGTTGTACCAGCACGGAAACCCGGGATGTCATCTACGCACAGAAGCCCTGCTAGCCCCCAGTCCTTCTTAGCTGTCTTTGGCAGGCCTCCCATTGCATTGTTCGTGTCTTCGTCCTCCAAAGTGCGCATCAACGAATCGCGACTGCCCTTACTCAGATGCGGCTTGACCATGTCAGCTACGGTGGACCGTTGTAATAGCTTCTCGTCGTTTGCCAGCAGGCTGAACAGCACCTTGGCGAACTCGCTCGCGGAGCTGAAGAGACCTTGGCCGCCCATTGCTTCTGTGACTCCCGCATACGGCATTCTGGCGTTCGATCGTTTGACTTTGCCATTCTCAGGGTCACGCTTGCTGAGGTCTACCATACGCGCTTCGAGGTCCGGGCGTCGGTCCAGGAAGAAAGTCATGTCTTTGATTCCGAGCGGCTGCCAGATGTTTTTCTCCATGTAATCTTGCAGTGGAGCATTGCCATCCACACGCTCAATCATCTTTCCCACCCAGTCGATGTTAGGTCCATAGATCCACTGAGTGCCCGGTTCGAAGACGAGAGGGTGGAGATAACGCCCGAGAATCGTTCCATCGGGGACGATGCCATTTTCTTCTCTCCATTGCAATATAAGAGGATGGACATCTCCGTACGCAAGGCCCGATGAGTGCGTCAAGAGGATTCTATACTCAGAGGCTCCATTAGATCAACGGTCTAAATGTCTCCAAGAGACTGTCAGTAAATCCTCACCGGAGCGTAATAGGATTCTTGTGCTTCTTCAAGACTGGCTTCCCGTGCTCGTCAGGCCCATGAATGACATCGAGGCTTTTTAGTTCGGGCAGGACACCGTAGACGGGCTCGTCAAGATGTAGCTGTCCGCGCTCCACGCATTGCATTGCAGCAATGCTAGTCAGAAGCTTCGTACAGGACGCGATCCACATAATGTCGTCAAGCTTGACAGGCCTTTGGTCCGCGCCGTCGCGGACGGATCGGGGCCCAAAAGCGCGCTCGTATCGAAACGTGCCTTTTTGATAGCGTTCAGCTCAATAGATGGTGAGATTTCCCCAAGCCAAGCTGACCTGTTGCATTCCCGGCTATCAAGAGAGCCTGGGGAATCTCACGGTCGGCGCAGGCGCGCTTGAACGTATCCTCGAGTGATTGCATGGCTGATGGGAAAGGCAGTGTATCGGAAGGGTGTTGGAGAAGGAAAGGTGGAGGTAAAGTTGGCGAGTGATAAGTACCTTGGTGGTGGAGGTGCAACATACGGCTGCAAGCTGATCCCGCAGCCTCGGCACATCAATGCGATGACGGAATTCGGCCCAGCACATTCCACGGCAGACGAACCTGAGCCGTGACCTAGTTGAAAACCGACGTGTTTGTCGGCTGAGAAAGAGTTTCTGGATTTAAAATGTGCTAAGACATCGGGACGTTTACGTGTCGTACGATGCCAATGGTACAGCGTGAAATGATGTCATGATCGTTTGGCACAGCTAATCTAACTTAGACACAAGACCGGAGAAGCAATAGCTGCGTCAAAACTCGAATAGTATGGGAGATATTCTTGACCCAATTACTGGAACATTCTGCTGTGTAGGGTTCTATGCTGTGTATGGATATTATGAATTATATGCCAGGCGCTAAATATTTACAGGACGCAACGAGGAGATGAGCCTACTGGCCGTTGAAGGACAGCTTCATGGTCAGGTCGTCGACCTGAGAGCAGACGAAGTCGTCGGGACCGTTACCACCAGCGCGGCAGACAACGGGAGCCTTGGCGTGACCCCAGATGCCGGCACTAATTCCACAGATCAGTCTTCTGCTTCGTTTCAACAGCAACACAATACTTACGCGAGACCCAGCTCGTGGTAGAGGCTGAGGGTGTAGTCCGAGTCGGTGCCGTTGATGCCGAAGTTGTACTTCTTGTTGCTGCAGCTGCCGCTCTTGGGCTTGTCCAGGGAGCAGTCGATGGTGCCGTTCAGCTTGAACGACGCGGCCTGGATGCCGTCGTTGTCGCGGATGGAGATGTCGGAGACCTTGACCTGCTCGGTGGTGAGGGCAGCGGCGGCACCGGCGAAGGCAGCGATGGCGGTGATGAACTTCATCTTGAAAGTGGTTGGTTGTGGAAGTGGAGGAAGTGGTGGATGTGGTGGCGGTGTTGGATCGGATGTGATTGATTGATTGATAGTGAGCTGATGAGCTTGAGGAGGCAGATTAACTCGGGTTCTTATATGCAGGTCAAGAGCCCCCTAAGTGCAGCTACGAGGCCACCGGGATACGAAGAATGTCACGGCAACACTCGAAAGGATGCCTCGATCCGGAACACCCGGGCCTTTACGAGCCCGATCGGCACTTTCTGTGTCATGCATTCAATGTCCAATACGAGCCGGCATTCGAGAAGGCGACCAAGGGCGCTGGGGGATGCAACTGCTGGCAAGAAATCGAACGGGCGCAGCAGGTTGACGATGATGCCCCCCATAACTTTACTCAACGTTAAAGTATTTTAAGAATTGGCGACGTCTGTGGCGGATTGTTAAGGTTGCGACGCATGGCAGCGGGCCGCCTGCGACGGGGAATCACGAGTCGGGTCAAATCAACCCAAATTCGAGCCCGCGGTCAAGTCTCCGTCCTTGGGAACAACTACGTGCTCTCATAATTCTCGTTTGACGTGCCTGCACCGCGAGCATCGGTCGAGAATCTCATACTCGTACTGCATCCGGCACATGCGGCATGTCGACAGTGCCACACATGGGTCGTGGCGTGTGAAGGGCCTTGGCCTACTACATAGGGCGTTGGCGTTGCAACCACTTGAACACAGCCCACAACCATGGACACAGCCCACCGCCTAACACAGACACCGGCCTAACCTTTCCATACTTCGAGCTGTGTAAGAACCCGACCGTTCCGACTGATGCCGTAGCGCCCATAAGGCTACCACGCTGACTCGAATGGGGCTCGATACAGGAGGTGAAAGCCGGCAGGGCTGAAGAATTGAGCCTTCTGTACCAACCTACGTCTACTGTCTACCGAGAGGTGATGACGGGTACATAGCTAGTGTAAGTCCCGGTCAATTCAATCGTGGCCGGACTGCACGGTCGAATGAAGCCACAACTACTCCCACCTATCTTAAAGCAGGCCTCGAATCGACTTCCTGAGGTTACTAAAGTAAGTCTAGACAACGTCTATTAGGGGGATAAAAGAATCTACCTTCTATACTTAGGAGGTCTAAGGAAGCCCGGGACTCTTCACTACCTATGGTACAGACTCACCTCGGCTACTTTATAACATAGTCGGTATTTTTGCTTCTACTTCCTAAGATACTGTCTAGACTTACTTCAACGACCTTAGAAGTCGATTCATAGCCATCTTCGAGATAGGTAGAGGCGTGGTTTTGGCTTGCTTCGATTGTTGGTCCGCAAGCCTTCAAGATGAAGACGAGTCAAGCTCTAATAACTGAGCTGTCTGCCGTTGTGAGGATGTCCGCGGCCTGATCGGTGCGCATGCTCCATGCCACGGGGAATTCTTGTAGACTATTGATCTCCCCCTCCAGAACATTCCACCACTCAATATTTGGGACGTCCCAGATGGCTACTGCAGTTGTGGGTAGCTCTTCTTTGCATCGCCCATATAAGCCACGGTAAACAAGACTGATCATTTACCAGGTCATCTTTCTCTCGTTGAGCGTTTTGACCATGCCATTCGAAATCTTGGTCGAACACGCCAGCATCTTTCCTCCGTCATGTCCCAAAGCTCCATGCGCATCTCCGAGCCTTGGCCCAAAGAGCTTCAGCAATACCGAGAACGGCATCCTTGGCATTCGTTCGAAGGGTTGTCTGATCGAGTTTATTCATGCAACACATGGACCGTACGCGTATATGTAGAGTGCTTGGCTGGGCGGGATCCAAATACAGTCTTCTTGTTTGCGAGACCTCAGAAGCACGCAGTGCTAGAATATGGTATCTCGTACTGTGTCGAAGACCTGCTCGACATGATGCTTGCTGGTGCATCCGGGCTAAATACCATTTGTTTGAGACTGTCGGGTCAGTGGTCCACGTGTGGACCGTGCAGGACTAGTTACAGTAGCAAACTCTTCTGATAGTCTGAGCTTCCCTTTTTGAAAACCCGCTGCAACTCTCACACAACCAGCTTTTAGGACCTCGATCGGAGAACGTGCTGTGCTCTTGGATACCTTCTAGCTGTCGTTTCTCAAAATGTCTTCTAAATATAAAATTTTCTTGCCAAACTCCTTCCATCCATCTCAGGAAAACAACTCCTGAATATCCCCGATGGTCTAGTGGTGATGATTTCCGCTTGTCACTATCAGTAACAAGCGCGGGAGACCGGGGTTCGATTCCCCGTCGAGGAGCACATCTCTTTTGGTGGTTGGTGATAGCTTTTTGTAGTGTTGTTGTGGTGTTGAGCCGGGAGGAAAGTTTTTTGGATGGCGGAAACTGTTCATGGATCTCTCGACGCATTTTCCATGCGCACAGACATGTCTTGAAGCCAACTTCTTACGTAATACCGCAGTTATCCTCTTCTCCTTGAATACTGGTCCTGTTCAACTGTTTCGATCATGAAAGCAATATTCCAGGTTGCCCGGAAGCGGAGGCAGGCCTTCCCCTTCCGTCTGCTCTCCAGATCCTTCCGAGGACGATGCGTACCTGCTTTGTATTCTTGTTCGAGGCTACGACTTCTGCTTGCTGGTAGCAATGCAAAGTACGCGAGAACGGATTTCGCTGAATCATATACGGATATCCCTTAGCAGCTTCTGACAGCAGCTTCTGACAGCATTTAAATATGCACATATGAGGAGCCTATTCTTCTTCGTCTGCTCCCGCACTTCCGCAGCGCCTAAGAGCAGATGATCTCGGGTCTGTCAGATATCGGCTGTCTTGATTGCGTTATGATGGCCCAGCGGCCCAGGGGAAGAACTGTTTGTATATTACGGTATATATGTGACCGGATGTATTGGCAACTGGAGCCTTTTGGATCGATCCTTTGCTTCAGTATTTCCTCAGAAAAATCTTCATGTCAGAGCATGTAACCTGCGTTGGTTCCAGCGGGTGAGGTCGCGCAGAGTGTAATGAACGATGTGGTCATTTCTTGCGCCGTGACCTTCCAGGTGAGATGAAGCCTCGGTCCAAGGGTCCAGACCTCCGCTCTGGGCTCATCCCGGACCGACCTTCGGAAGCCCTCCGTCTCGTATCTCCGCCGAAGCAAACCACCAAGCATCGCATATCAACCCAGAAGGGAGTGGACTACGCCGCATCGGAGCAGTACCGCTCACGGTAATTAGACCGTCTGTTTACTAAGGAGCAAACGCATTTCGCAACACACAGGATGTAGCGATCCCGCTTTCAAGTCCTTCCTCAACTGCACAATCACCATGTCGGATGCGGAGGTGCAACAGCAGCAAGACGACATCCAGTCGGGATTCCAGAACGTACCGTTGGAAGTTGACACCCGCACTGCCGATAGCATTCGCGATAGCGACTCCACCCTAGGTAGCGAAGACAACGGCTCCATCTATACCTCCTCTCTTACCTCTTCCGTTACAGAATACCGCTTTGAGAATGGCCGCCGGTACCACTCGCACTCGGATGGGTGGTACCATCTCCCGAACGACGAGCAAGAGCTCGACAGATTGGATCTGCAGCATGCGATATGGCGAATGACCCTGAATGGACGGCTATACATGGCACCGATTGTCGAGGTTAACAATGTGCTGGACTTGGGAACAGGCACAGGTTCGTTTGCGATGACGAGTACAACGGGAACGGAAGTACTGAGAGCTCATGAATGAGATCAGGGATATGGGCCATCGAGTTTGCGGAAGAACACCCCAGTGCCAACGTGCTCGGGACTGACCTCTCGCCAGTCCAGCCGGACTTTGTGCCGCCAAACTGTATGCTTCCCTGCTAACCACTAAGATCTTTCCACCATCTCACGGCTATATAGGCCGTTTCCTCATCGACAACGTAGAAGGGGACTGGCGCTTCGAACAGACTTTCGACTTCATCCATAGCCGCGTCCTATACTTCGGCATCCACGACTGGCGCCGCTATATCGATCAGGTATGGGAGAATCTTGCGCCGGGCGGCTGGACTGAGGTCGCGGAGGTGGGGTTTCCACTTGGTCGAGCCGACGACACGCCGGCTGGCGGAGCGGTCGATGTATGGAGCAACCGCATCATCGAGGCGTCGAGAATGGGAGGTGTTGACGTGGAAAATGCGTTGCGGATTGATGAAATAGTGCAAGAGAAGGGATTCATCCACGTTCGCAAGCAGGAGTTCCAATGGCCAATGGGACCGTGGCCGCGCAATAGAAGGCAAAAGGTGCTGGGTAAGTATGTATACGAAGACTGGATGCAAGGTATGGGCGGATTAAGTATGGCTTTGTTCACCCGCTACCTGGGCTGGTCGCGGGAACAGGTCGAACTGGATCTGTCAGAGGTCAGGAAGGATACAAAGGAAGGGCACTACTATCTTCCTATGTAAGTCCGGGCCTTCATGCGTGTGAACGACGAGCGCGGCGGCTGACGTCCGGTCCAGGGTTGTCGTAGTGGCACAGAAGCCAAAGGCGACGAACACGGCTGTGGAGACGGTGACAGCGGCGGATTGATCATGACTGGCTGCGCTGAGGTCGACGGGCATCGGCACAGGACTCGGGGCGATTCAGGGACGGCGATGCGAGAGCTCGAGTGATGAGGAGCAAGGAAAGTCGGATAACTTAGGGTCCTAAGGCAGATGCGCAACCCCACCGGTTACTATTTTGAGCCCAGTACCGTTACGATGCCGAAGCCGGGTTTATTAGTGGATTGAAAGCACCAAAGCTCGCTTCCAGGATGGGGTCAGTCCAGGCTGGTACTGTGCAGCAGTACCGTCCGCAGCTGTGCGCCAGCGCGTCCAAGGGACAGGGCTCGGCACAACGGCGCGTCTCGTAGCTTCTTGGCGTTGGTCCTGGCAGTGTTCGGCCCCGCCCGAAAATCTGTCGATACGGGTGGCAGTGCTGGATGAGCGGTCGTTGAACGGTGCGTGTCCGACAGCTGATGCGGTGATGGTGGTGGTGGTGGTGGTGGTGATGAGTGGAAGGTAAGACTAGTAGCAGGCTGAGAAGCATGATAAGTTAGCTTAGGAGCGGTTGCCAAGGGCTCGGCGCAAGACAAGCTCATCAAGCTTTTTGGGGCTTCTTAGTCCCGGCTGTCGTCATCCAGCACTGCCATCGTGCCCCAGCCCTGGTGGGATCCCTGCAGCTCTAAGCCTCGAACTTCCTGCTTCCAGCCCGTGGAGCTCTCCCCGACAGCTGCCAGCATCGATAGTTAAAACCCCAGCCCTATCCTCCACCTCCTCCTGCCACTGGCTATGCTACCCGCGACCTTACTTGCAATCTTCGGCATTCTTTCCACCGTAGCTACCGCAGTTGCCATTGAGCGCCTTTGGCACCGCCGTCCCGTTGTCGCCCTAACCACCACTGTCCTCATCCTAGCTACAGCTCTCCTTCTCGACTACTACTACCGCCGTCAGCCTTGGATCCCGCGCGCTACCACCATGGCTTACTCCCTCTCCAAGCGAATCTACAATCTATGTCATGCTCCTGAGACCGTGAGCTCCCTGCTTGCCAAGGATCCCGAACTTGCACCATCCGAAGCCTCCAAGCAGATCTTTGGCAGCCATGGCGTGAGCGTACTCGAGTCTCCGGCGCCAAAGCACCGCAAACTAGCGACTCTTGAGGACCTGGAACGTGCGCGCCAGTGCGGCAACTTTGGCGACACAAGACCGAGTGAGCTTTTCTTGAGAGTCTGGCACGATGCGCTGTGCGCGTTGGAGCATGATCCACTCGAAGGTGTCGTCAGCCCGCCGTTGATGGGCAGCACTGGTGTCATTCCCTTGACCGTGATCGGGCCCTTGCCCGATATTTGTCGTCATATGGTAGGATATATCTCGTCCTATATCTGCTTTTCCAATCCACTCCCGCTCCTATACTTCCTATACCCCTCCCCTCATGTCTTGATCTCTGGGATTGATGTGAACGAAAAAGATCATGTCTGACGTGATCTCGGATCAAGGAATCCAATCAAACATCCAATGCTGATATGTTATGAGTAGTCAAATCTGATAGCGCGAGCAGAGCACGAGGTCTTTCTTGCCACGAACTATTGGAAAGAGTCTGATGCTTCTACCTTGATAACAGACTCTTTGAAAGAGTTGTCTGTACGCGCAGGAAGCAGAGGGCAAAAAGTCGTGGTGAAGCTCATCTTCGACCGTGGAAGTCCGAAACAGGTATATACATGCGCACGTCTGGCTATGCAGGGAGTCCGCTAAGACATGCAGGTCTTCGACAACCATCTCAAAGTTAACGGCAAGGACCGCGCAGCCAAAGGGGTTGGCATTCCGGCACCCGAGGAGATTCCCAACGTCGACTTGGAGGTGGTGAACTACCACAGGCCAGTGCTTGGGACGTTTCATTCGAAGTTCATGGTCGTCGACCGTAAATTTGCCGTTGCATGCAGCAACAACATCCAGGATAACGACAACCTTGAAATGATGACGCACATCGAAGGACCCATCGTCGACGCCTTGTATGACATGTCTCTGATCTCCTGGCATAACAAACTCGAGCCTCCTCTGCCACTTCTTGGCATCACGGAGGCGGAGAGCAAGATCAAGTCAACGATGCAAGAACCATCTTTCCAAGCGCTGCTTGATGAGAGTGGATTCTTCCGCCCAAAGACTGTCGTCGAGCTCAATAGTGCAGACGCGCGCATGAAAGAGCATAGGGCTGGCGACCCACATTATGACCCTAACATCGCCGCGGAAATCGCGAGAGGACAGTCTGTATTGACTCCCGTCAAAGGCGAGAGACTTATGGAAGTCGTTGCTGACCATTTGAGTGGGTTTCTCTTTGATGTTGTTGTTGCCGCGCCCAACGTCGGTCTTTTCGACTATCAACGATCAAGACTTACGTACTTTTACTGATACTCGGACTTCAGACCGATCAACACATCAAAGTCTACGCGCTACCGCTCCCGATTGCGCCCCCGAGGACAACATGACACCCTTCATCCCTCACGCGGTCCCGGCTCCTTTCCCAGTGGCTCTCGTTAATCGTAAGCCTTGGGGTGCTCTCAATCACTCCTGTGTCAACACGCCGCAGAATGAGGCGTGGCTCTCGGCTATCCGTCATGCTACCCGCAGCATTTTTATCCAGTCCCCGGACATCAACGCCGAGCCACTGATTCCTGCGTTGCTGCAAGCAGTTCGGCGAGGTGTCGAGGTGACGTTGTGGGCGTGTCTGGGTTACAACGATTCCGGAGAGCTCCTGCCGTTCCAAGGCGGTACGAATGAAATGGTAAGCAACAGCATGTAT